TTGTAGAAATACCATCTGTAATTTCTAAAATATCAGAATCTGTTACAGCATATGCTACATTGGCATAAAAATTATGACGTAAATACAATGGTGTTATAAGAAATAAAATTGGTAATATAGTTGTTAATAAACAAAAGACTAATATTCTCTTGATTCCATGCATTTTTTATAAATCTAAAAAAGAAATCTAAATACTAATTGTTGTTGTTAATTTTATATGTTGCATTATTATTAATCAACATATATTACATCATATATAAATTAGCAAATATATGTTTAGAAAATATAATATACGTATTATATTCTGCAAATTTTAAGTAATTATCATTAAAATATGCACATACTATAATAATAAACAATAAATTATTCATTAATGATGTTATTTATGTATAATCTTGCAATGTTTCTAATATATAATAATTTTTACTAAATTAAAATATTAAGAATTAATATATGATAATTATTTAATATATAAATATATTTACATTATGTGCATTATTATATATAGAATAATATATGTAATTTAATAATAATAATAAGTAATATATAATTTAAATATCTGATAAAACAAAGTTGTAAGTTTGATATCTAATTTCAAGTAACTATATTTTCAATTTAAAAAATTTTCAATAAAAATTTATATTTAAATATTTTTGTGCTTAAAATATTTCTATACTATTATAATTAATATTAATATAATTATAAATTAACTTTTTTATAAATTTTAATATTACATATATAGAAAAAAGAGGTTAGAATATTATCAATGATAAAAATAAATTGTATTATATATACATGCATAACTTGATAAAAACCATCATGTAATTCTGATTTGCTTATTATTTTAACGTATAACACTTTTGATATTAATTACGCATGCGTTTTTCAATTCAATCATGAATACTTGTCATTGCAAATAAAAAAATTAAAGAGATATAATATAATATAATAATAAAATATATAATAATATTACATTAAATGAATAAATATTAAAAAAAAATAAATAAGAGAATAAAAAATTATAAAAAAATATTCTACATTTTAAATTAAAAATACTATATAATTTAAAAATACTATATATAAAATTCTTTTATTTTGCTATATTATAACAAAATATATATAAAAATTTGAAAAAAAATTTTTTTTATAAAAATTAAATAACTTATTATATTTGATAAATTGCTGTATATATTATATAACATGTAATTATTATAACGCTTATCGAATTATTAATATTCAATTAACATTTCGATATATGAATATTAAATATTAACCCCACGGAAAATATTTTTCAAATTAAAGGATTTATCATTATATTTTAGAAATAATGGCCTATATAAATTTTTAAATCATATATGAACTTCGATAAATCAGCATTTAAAAAAAATAAATGAAACTGAATAAATAACTAGATATGAAATTTATTTTCTAAAAAAAAGTCATCGTATAGTTTCATACAACTATATTTTGACTTCGCAATCCGATATGAAAACACAGTTTTCAAAAATTTTAAAAAAACAAACTTACTCTTACAATAAATATATTTGATAAACAAATCATCACATCATTTCCCCCCTTCTTTCAACCAAATATATTCTTCCACATGATGTAATAATTATCTGCTGTGTAAGCAACATGTAATCATCCAATTTGTAGTAATAATTCAAAACTGGACTTTCTGAAACATATTTTATTTTCTTCTTTCAATTTACCAAAGTAATATTGCAACACTAAAATTTTATTATTTTCCTAATAAAATAAATATATTAAAAATTAACACAGACTACATCACATTAAACCAAAAAAAGAACATCAAAGGCCTAAATAAAATTGGTCAATTGTTATATTGTATTGAGAATGAATCAATATCTTATTCTATCACACATTCTTGAGTATAATTTACAATTATAGCATATTAATACTTGAGCATAAATATAATCATTATACATACATGTTACAATTTTCTTTTCATACACTATATTAATCATTAACTCATCTTTCAGTTTTGTGTGCAGAATAACTCTATAATGAAATTAATGGATAGTTAATGGATATAATATATCTAACGTAATATTCTTTAATATTAATAACTCTAATATTCATTAAAAATATTAAAGACATGTGATAGATTTCTTATTTTTATTATAATAAACTAAAGTCTCTAAACAATTTTTGATAATAATATAAAAATGATTAATTTTACCTGTCATAATCATATTTTTGTAATTCAACGAAAATCTATCTTGAATTGCTGCAATCTCCAAAAAAATATATAATAATTTATCATGAATTTTGTCTTTCTATTTAAAGCATTGATAAAAATTTTAAAAATCATTTATGTTAAATATTAAGTCTCTTTAAATTCTATTATTACACATTTAATTATTTTAAAAATTTATATCCATACCTATTCCAATACCCTATATTATAAAACTAAAAATTGTGCTATAATATTATATTACGTATAATTATATCATCATTATTAATCAGATTACCAATTCTGCTGGATTGAACATCGATGGTGGAAAAAACATGGATTACAATATTTCACTAAACAATATACAGATATTCAGGATATATATAATACATACAAATAAAGTAATCGGAGGATAATAAAAGTCTCCTTTGACTACATTACAAATACAAAAATTTGATGAATCAACAAATATGATTTAAATTTTTTAGCGACCTCTTCGAAGATTTGACGCCAAAAAACTTATTAAACGTAGTAAAAATACGCAAAACAATATTTTTTCTTCTTTTTTCTTTTTTTTTTGATACAAAAATTTTGCACTATGCAGTATGCAAACATACTTGCCTGTAGAATAAAGATGAATTTATATTCATTCAGACACGAAATGATTCAGTTTAGAAAAACATTCTCGTGGATAATAAAATAGGAATATTAATATATAGCATTGCAGATCTAAGTAGAGATGTTTTGTTTTAAACAAATAACTCTTGTAAAGAATATTTGAATTGATTGAAGTTACATACTGTTTGAACGATAATAATTATATAATATTTATTCAGTTCATCTAAATTGGATTTTGCTAATAGACGAAAAAGCAATAATACACAATGAATCGATGATATGAATATTGTATTTTGAATCATTCCGTAGATAATGTTATTTTTTGCCTGAATCGAATTGTTTCATAAACAGAATTTTCCATTATAAAATATATTATCAAATGGAATAATATATAGAAAAACAAATCATTATTAGAATAATGATAAGCAATTAATACTTTTACAAAAACTATTCCAGATAATCCCGGGTATTATCCCGTATTAACAGACGAAATTGCACTAATGCATGAAACCGCCATAAAATTCTCATTTTCATTTAGTCGAGAGATAAGAACAAATATTTGGTTATATTAATAATGAATTAATCATGGCTTTTTTCAAAAAGAACATGTTAATAAACACATTTTGTCCTATAATACATAAAAAAATGTCTATTATAATTACATTTTACAATTACTTTTTATTTTATATAAAATAAAAAGATATAAATTATTATTATTTACATAATAATATTAGTAAAAATTTATATTGATAATATATATATAAACTATAATTTGTATTCATTATAATTTATTTTGAAATTATTAATGATGTATAATTCATATATATATATACTGTGTGAATATTAGAATTAAATATTTATTATCATTATTCAAATCTATAAAAACAATTTAAATATTATAAATTCATTTATATTTATATATATATAAATAAGTCTTTTTTATTTTTATTGTATTTATATATTTTTTTATATGTAACTGAAAAAATTAATTTTTCTAAAACAGCAACATGTATATATTCAAAAATTAAAATTTTTTTACATATATTTACCTATATATCAACAAATCAATTCTGATCAGATTAGATCAACTGGAAATCATTACTTATTATTATTATTTATAATATTAATAAATTAATATCATAAAAATGCTTAAGATTATATATTACTTAATTTATAAAATTTTCTGATAATATGAAAATATAACATTCTTTAAAAAATAATAAAAAAGAGTTAAAAATGTGTTAATATATTTTTAGCCATATCTTATTTTTAAATTAAATCTTTTTTTTACATTAAATTATTTTGTCCTTATTTCATCTTATAATATTGATAATATTATTGTATATATAAAAATGTATAAATTTATATATATAATATATATATATATAATATATTAATATATATAATAAATAATATATATAAAAATATATAATATATATAAAATTAATATATACTAATATATAAAAAATAATATATACATATTAGATATATATATATATATACTATAAATATATATATATATACAGATAAAACCCAAAAATTCTTTGTTCCCTATAAAATCATATCTATCTATTTAATAATATCATTTAAAATAACATTTTTCATATTTTCAAAATAAATTGCTAAATTAAATTAACTAAGAAATATTTTAGTTAATTTTAATTAACACAAATATATAAGAATTATTCTATGGAAAATTGTTTTTACTAAAAAATCTCAAATCTTAAAATTTAAAATAAAAATAATTTAAATAATATTTATTAAATTTAATATAATTAAAATTAATTAATAATAATTTTACAAATATAATTACTACTATGCTACAATCAAATTTATATGAAATATTTTTTTTATCTATTACAATATTTTATTTAGATATAAATTTGATTCAAATATTATCTAAAATCAATAGACATTTTAAATTTTGATTGGACAAAACAAGAATCGTCATCAGAATTTCTCTGTAACAAATAAATATTAATTCATAAGTTTTTGGAAAATAGATTTTAGAAGTCAAAATAAATACAAAAGTTGATATATTATAGGGTTATTTATTAAATATAAATATTGAATATATAATAAATATTGAATTTGCATTAAATAAAATAAAACAAAAGAGCATATGAGGTAATTCTATTTTTATCATACAACTATTTTGCTCTTAAATTTCTTATAAATTTTGTATGTTAAATTTTATATAAATAACCCTCAAAAATTTTTTTATATCAATATTTATATTTTTTTGATCTTTAAAATCAATCTTATGTGTTCCATGAATATATATCATATATATAATATCATGTATATATTCAAATAATGATACATGTCATTTATAAGCCTTCAAGTAAATTAATTTTTGCAATTGCTTGATAATATCCATTACTACTAATTGTATGACGTTGAGATAAATGAATTTGTTTCAATATAGTTTCTCCAAAAATTGTATTTTTATGAGCCTAAAATAAATTATAATTTCTTAATAACAATGTTTTAATATATTATAGTTCAATAAATAATTAAATAAGTAAATTAATATTTACTTTCATTATTTCTGTTGCATCAAAAGTTTTATATTTTTCATAATGATTTTCTTCTTCATTTAATTTAAATTTTGTATTCATAAGAGTCAAATGTAATTTAACTTTCTCTGTTTCTTTATATAATAAACCTAAATAAGAAATTATTTTTAATATTTTTAATATTATATTTTCAATAATTATTTATTAATATCTTATTAATATTATTTGTTATTGAAAAATCTTACCTATCCTATTATAATAATCTACAATTTCATCTACCATTTTTTCCAAAGCCTCATTGTCAATTAATTTTGCATATAAAACTCTAGTTTCACTAGGATCATCATTCATTATATCAGTTCCTTGTAAATATATAGGAATTTGTCCATATTTTTCAATTATAGGCCTAATTGTTATGAAAAAATTATTTATAAAATAATTTTGGTCAATATTTGATAATAAAAAATGTTGGTTATATCATGTCTTCTTACTTTACAATATGCTGATGACAATGATTCAAAGCTTCTATAGCTTGATTTTTTTCTGTATCATCAAGTAATGTTAATAATGCAATAGTAAGATGCAATTTGCTTGGTATTTGAAAAATCATTTCATCAATACCATTAGATTTTTTTCCAGAATTTTTCAGTACTTCATTTTTAAACATATTAAAATTCATTATTATATGACCTTCATTTAAAGGTATTGATAAAAAATGTGTAGATGGTATTTTTTTTCTACTTGCTTCCATTAATAAATTTATTCTACGACGTGCTGTCATTATTCCTTTACGATCAGTACCAATTATTACTATAAATAATATATTGATAATATGTATAATTGTATTGATAAAATTGTATTGTAAAAATTAAACTTTATATCTCAATTATTACTTCACAAAATCCAAAATAATAAATACCAATATCTCCATCTTCACCTAATCTTGGAATTTGTATCGATGTTCTAGTTTCATTTTCTAATTTTTTACGTACTGCATGTTTAGATCCAATAATAAATGGAAAAAATGATCTAAAATATTATAATAATCATTAATATTGTATAATATATAATTTTTTTATAAAATATTTATATTAATACACATTTTATATACTTTGACACATGAAATGTGTGCTTAAATCTTGTCGACTCGTATGGTACAATTTCTATATCACATTCATCTTCAGAATCTTTATAATCTCCTTGATAATTGTCTTCAAAATAAGGAGAAATATTTTGAGCACTTGGCCGTTCGATATTTCCGAATAGTCTGTAACACCGACCATCTATCCAAATCAACTCAGGTTGTAGAATATTCATTGTACAAAAAATATTTTATTCTTATATTAACTGTAAAAAAAGTATCTTTTTTGTATTTAAAATAACATTATGATTTAAAATAAAATAAAAGATAAAATTTTTTACCATAACCGTTTCATATTATATATACAATTTGTGATTGGAGAGAAGATACTTCAAAGTTATGTGAATCTAATTGGTTGATTGTTTTTGTAGATCCAATACATTAAACCAAACTTAAATAGTTTATTGGCCCAAGTATCATTTGGTAGACTCAATACATTAAACCAAACTCAAATAGTTTATTGGCCCACATAAGATCATATATTGCGTATCAATAAGCAAATGAGTAGAATACTCTTTTTTGCTTTTGTCCCAATAGCCAACTTATAAGTCATAAGATACTATGCTATGTTTTGTACTATATAAGTACTATATAATAGGGACTAAAATCTCCCCAGTCATTAAATATATGGCAAAAGAAAAATTATAAAACCAAAAAAAAAAATAATTTCATCAGACATTAGCTGAAATTACAGCAAATGTTACGATGTCTGGTGATTCAATTCATTAAATGATATATATACTTACTTATATCATACTCAATGAATTGAAATATCGAGTGACACACAATATCACATAAATAAAATTTAGAATTAAGGTTGATTCATAATCATAGCATCGGAGTACTTGTTTTGCTAGTCAATAATTAAAGCCGCAACATCTGTCATGTAATTTAATTATTTACTTTTGATGATTAAGATTATAAGATATATGATAAAAACATATTTATAACATGTATTACAAATTATTTAAAATATTACTTTGACAATTTGAAATTTAACCGTTTTTTAAAAAATGGTTTTTTTATATCGTTTTTTATAGTTTTTTTATATTATTAATCTTTATAATAATTGGTTCAGAACTAATGTTTTTTAATAATATAAAAGAATTATAAATAAAAATGATACAATATGTAATTTATAATTATATAAATTTTATAAAATTCTTTCAAATATATATTATAAAATATATTATAAAAATGTTTTTTTATCAACTATGAAAAACTATTTTCAAATCGACTTAAAACAAGAAATAAACATTTGTTAGAATTCGTAAATATTTTTAATATTGTAAATTACAAAAATAATGGAAATTTAAAAAAAATAAAAATTTTTTTGAACAAGCAATATTTTCTTAAAAAAAATAATATAATTATTTATATTGTTTATGATGTTGATATATTGATATATATGTATATTGTAACAAATTATATAAATTGACAAATATTTATTTTTGTAATATGTCAATTTTTAAATAAATTTAAAAAAAAATAAATAAAAAATAGAAATAAAAAGAAAAATAGAAAGAATAAGTTATTTTTTTTGAAATTAAAAAAAAAATTGTTTTGAAGACAATAATTATATTGATTGAACTTTTTTGTTAAAATTTTTGTATTATTTTTATCTTGATGATTATATGTAAATTTTTAAATATATGGAAAATAAAATTGTAAATACAAAATTTATTATTTTTAATTTCATTTGTTTTTATACACGTTAAGAAGATAATAATTGCAACTTACTTTTATGAAACAGTTAAAATTCCTTTATAACTTGTAATTATTTACAATATTTATGATTTTTAATATTTATATTTCACAATAAAATGTTTATTATTTAATGTTCAGATTTGAAATTGATATAAAAAAAATTCAATATTTAATATAATGCAAAATGTACATTATAGCAGAACATAAAATGCATTTTTAAAAGATATAACATACATATTATTTCATACTAAATGAAAATATAAAGTTTATACATTGAATGTACGAAGTTAGAAATTTACTAATTTCTTAATGGCTAAATTACTAGAATGTTTATGAAGCATGTACAAATTGATCTATATTACAATAATAATAATTACAGATATATCTACATAGGCATTACTTAGATATATTTTTTAGTAGATATATTACAATATTCAAAATGAAGAATTCATATAATAAATAACTATTTCATGTCATAAGTTACAGAATTAATCTTCATCAGTACTTTTCTGATAAACTGCACCAAATTTACTCATATACTTACGTACAAAATCTTTAGCTTTATGTTTAACATTTTCATTACATTGTAATTCATCAACACTTTTACAATGTTTTAATTCTTTTGCAAGTACAAAATGTGTAAGCTAAAACAGAAAATTTTTATTAAATTTAGTTTTATTATAAATTTATTAAAAAAAATTCATAAATTTATCAATAAATTCTTAATTAAACAGTTTTCTTATATAAATGTACCTTTCTAGCTAAATGTTTAAAGTCTTCTGTATTTGTTATTCTACCTTGTTTACAATCATTTTTTCTATATGGATTCAAAAAATGTACCATGACATTTGCCATATTTATCCTAAAAGTATCTTTAATTTTTCTCTCTGACATTGTAGATAAATCGGATGTAGGTAATTGTATTTTATTTAAACTATGCCGTGAATGTGATTTAGATTTATTACTACGTCGATGTCTTCTTATTTTTTCAACTTGTTCTTTGAATTTGGCTCTTTCTTTTTGACGACGTAATTTTTCCTTTATTCCTTTGTGTGTTTTATGATCCATTCGATCTTCTTCTCGACGTGGCTATGAAATATAAAAAAAATAATAAATATAAAAATATATATTAATATATATTAAAAAATAAAAATATAATAAATAAATATAATCTCTATAACATACACTAATAATTCTTTCTTGAACTAAACCTTCCCTTCTTTTTTTGCCTTCTGAGAAAAGTCCTGAACTTCCAATTATATTATGAATAGCACTTTTTTTAGTTGCATTGTGCTTAGAACCATTTAATGATTTTTCTATTAAAGTGTTATTTAAGTTTAATTCCTCATTTTTAGAATCTTCATTATTATCTTCTTCAATTTCTTCATCATCTTCATTTGATGAAGTTGATTCTTCGCTAGATTCTGAAGTTGATGATGAATCTGGTTGAACTCCAATATGATCTGGAGGAGGAGGTAACCATTGTGATATTCGTTCTTTTACATGATAATAATATGTTCTGCCTCTAGTATCAGTTGCACTTTTCCATTTAGGTGGTAAATCTATAGGAGGTATTTCAGATTGTGGTTGTTTGAATGTTGCAGGAAATTGTTGATCTGATTGTTTTTCCATATGTTCGTAAAGAGATTCTGTTTGAAGTGTAACTGTTGTGCCACTAGGAACTAAATTATTTGAAAGTGACAATTGGCCTTCAGAATATTGTTGATGACAATGAGGCAATAAAGAATAAGCTGTTGTGGTTTGATTAAATACAGGTGTTTGACTTAATGTATACACTACTGGAGGAACTCCTGAAGGTATATTATTCGACATTCCAGATGATATTTCAGAAGAAATTGATGATTGTAAAACATGTGAACTTTGTGGTACTATTCCAGATTGAGTATGACCAGGTATTGTTTGTGGTCCACCTACATATACTGGAGTACATTGCTGATTTATTTCTCCATCTATAATAAAATTTTATACGAATTAATTACTTAATAAAGAAAAATAAAACAAAAAACAAAAAAAAAATAAAAATAAAAAATAGCAATTAAAGAAAAAAAAATTATAAGAAAAAATAAAATACTTAGTTTCTAAGTAATATAAGTGATTTTTAATATTTTTATATTATTTTTAATATAGATAATATAGTTATTAGATAAATTATATTTTATTTTACAAAACCAGTAAAGATTTCATAAAATTGAAATTTTAGACTTACATCACTTGATAATTATGTAATTTAAATATAAAAATTTAATATAAAAATATAAAATTTAAATATATATATATATGAATTACAACCTTGTGTAGGATACTGTTGCCATTGTCCAATTGATGGATTATAAAAAACAGGATATCCTGTTTGTGGATCTACCATAGCTGTAGTATGAGGATCTATGCCTAATGCCAAACATCTAGTTTCATGATCTTGCCATGATTCTTGTTGTTGACGTCGTTGTCGTTCTTCTTCTTCTTTAGCTACTTTTAAAGCAAATAATTGTCTACGCTCATATTTCGTCATTCGTGGAATTGGAACTAAACTACTTCTTTCCTCTATTCTCTTATCTTTTGTTCGAATATGCTCGGATTCTGGAGATTCTCGCCCACGTCTTCTATCCCCACGTTTCTCAGGTTCGTTCCTTCCATATCTATGTCTATAAAATAAGAAATTTATTTATATTATATTTATTATATTATATTTATATTATATGTTTATTTTTGATTGTAAATCATTTATCAATTTATAAATAATTATAATCATATTATACCTATCATATGATGTTCCTCTTTTTTCTTCTTTTTCTAATTCTTCTCTGTATCCACGATCTTAGAAAAAATATAATACATTAATTTTTAACTAAAAAATTTCTATTATATCATATATCATATATCATAATTATAATTCATTACCTGCTTCTCTTTCATGTTCTTTCATTTGTTCAATTCTCTCTTTTTTTGGTATACGAAAAACTTCTTTTAAATTTGACCATTCGGCTAAAAGACTCGAAGCTAATTCGGGAATGAGATTTTGATCTGCATTATCAGATTTTATTTCGGTAATTTCAATATTATTTTCTTGTTTATCTGTATCAATTAATTGATAGGAATTTCTTTTTTCATTATTATCATAATTAATTTGTAATTCATCATTATTTGATTTTAATTTTCCTTGATCATCATCTGGAGAATCTCCATTTAGAGAAAAATATAATCGTCTAGACCATTTTTCTACTACATTATAAATTTTACTATCCATTAACATTGTTTTATTAGGAATTGGAAGTGTATTTAAAGTTTTCAAAACTTCTAAACGAAATTGTTGTGCTTCGTCTGTATCATTTGTAGAAATATCCATAACATAACTCCAAATCAAACGTAAACCATGATAATCCAAAAATAATCTTCGACATGGCTGTTCACCACTTTGTATCAGACGTAGAAGACGTGTTCTGTGTTCTAATTCTCTGCTACGTACCATTAATCTACTTAATGTTAATGTGTGAGCTCTATTTTTTAAACCACCCGAACATAATTTATCTATTTCTTCCTCCAACTAAAATAATATTAAGTAAATTAAGTAAATTAAATAAATATAATAGTTGAAAAAATATTCTGCAGAAACAAAAAATGAATAAATTACTCACATCTTCATCTTCCATATAATCAGCTTGTTTCTTTTCACCTTTTTTCTTTTTCATATCTTTCTCACGTTTTTCTTTCTTTTCAATTTTTTCTTTTTCTTCCTCGGGCGTTTCACCAATCCAACCACGACAATTGGGTGCTTCACAAAAACATTTCTGTGCTTCTTTACTAATATTGCAATAAAATTTAGCACAAGTAATATACTTTTATTAAATATATTAAGATAATATTAACATACATACCCATAACGTTGAAAATGATAATCAAATGTAATTTCTTCACCAGCAGCTATAAATTTTTTGTTAAAAAAGCCAATTCTCAATTCACCATTCACTGTCCACTATACAGATTTCAATTATAAAAATAAAACTCTATATATATATTTTTATTTTTATTAATAATACTTACTTTTTGTGTTTCAGAATTAGGATCACAACTATGATTTATAAATCGAGAAACATTTCCTTTCATAGTGGCATCAATAATTTGATCAGATTTTAATGCCATAAAATAATAATGTTTATTTTTATCTTTTGAATATTCTTTTGCTCTACGTCGAAAATCTTTAGGATCAACTACTTCACCTACATACTCCATTATAAATTCTCCTCTAGTATTTAGAAAAATAAAATTCATTAAAAAATATTTATTGCAAATATCTTCATTGTATTTAATTTAGTTAAATTAACTTACGCTAAAAGGTCGACCATAGCTCGTAGACCAAATCCTTTCTTTTCTGTTCTAAATACTTCACATTTTGCATATTCACAATTTTGAAATCTTTTATTTGTGCAACGATCACCTACTACACATCGAGGTCCACTAAAGAATATATAAAATATTATAATATTATTTTTTAATTAATATTTTATATTTAATTTAAATATATTAATATGATGACTAATATGATATAATATGATATGATATATTAATATGATATATAATATATACCATTCTATCATAAGAAGTCTATTTAAACAATCTTCACCACAACCTAATTCTCCTCTTTCAATTTCTTCTTCTGTTAAAAAACAATCGCATACCATTCTTTTTGTTTCCTTATTTGTATATCTAAAAGAATTGTTAGTGTATTTATCATATTTTCATAACCATAAGTTTATTTACATACCTTTCTGTCAAATATAAATTTTCACGTAAATTTTCAAACTGACTTAGCCTTTCTTCCATTTCTCTGTCTTCTATCTCAGAAACCATAGGTAATGAAATTCTTGCACCAACTGTTTTTGGAATTTGCACAATATTATTATTATTAGTTGATACTGGTATTTCCTTTGTTTGTTCTATATCTATATTAGATTGAAAATTTGCAACTAATGCAGTTCCAGATATAGATTCTGAAGAATTAATATCTGCTAAAACTCCAGTTGAAGATTTAAGCGTTGAACATGATCCAAATTCAGATATATTTGCAGTTATGGTTCCAAATATAGATCCTACTGTTGATGTAGATGCAACTCCTGTATTTGATCCACCCATTTCAAGTTCACTAGATCTTCGCCAACGAGACTTTACTTTAACAGGTTTACAGGAATCTGAATCATAGCCTGTAGCATTACAAGTTGTTGTTAATAATGAGAGGGATTCAAATGTATTCGTTGTCTTATTGATGTTTGCTTCTTTGTCTGATTGTAATTCAGATGGATTATCTATTTTCATTTCTTGAGCAATTGAAACAATATTATTGACTATTTTTTCTCGTTCTTGCTGAACATTTGTTTTTGAAATATCTGTATTAGGTTTTGTAACTAAACCCCGTCCACGGGATCTACAAAATAAGATCTATATTTAGAAAAATTTTTATAATGAATTATATGTTCTTTAAATATTCAATAAAAATTTTATTAAAATATTTTATTTAATATGTACATTTGAATT